TCTCTCTCTCTCTCTCTCTCTCTCTCTCTCTCTCCGCCCCCGCCTATCCCTGTAGTGAACCCTCATGCTCATGAGCTCCATCCCTATCAGTTTGTTGCATTCTTTGCATAATTCAAACCGATCTTTGTTTCATGTAGGACCACCGGCTTCACCTGAATAATCTGCCCGATCCTTATCGCTGCATCTGGACTGAAAGGTATGTCACATGCAGCTATAATGACCAGGGGCGTTCTATTCGGGTGAAGACGGCAGTTGGCTTGTTGGAAAGGACATTTGGAAACACCACCCTTCCCAGAAGTAGATGGAGGAAGGGGCCTGTATGAGGGGGCGTGCTCTGCTCTGCGATGTCATACTCAGTCGGGCGTTGGCGAAATGGGAGTGGAAGCAGACCCAATCTGGAGCGAGTACATATGCCTCTGCCCGACCATACTCCCAAGAGGATCTTTCCCACTGATTTCGGAACGTGATTGCAGTCAGGTACGCTTACACTGATTTCTGGATGTAATCGCAGTCAGATACGTTTCCACTGATTACTCCCACGAGGACGTTTTCCTCCCCTTTTCTGGACGTAATTGCAGTCAGGTACGTTCCCCATCTCCATGGCCGTCTTCCACACAAAGGCCTCGTTTCTGCATGAGCCGCATGATCATTGCGCCTCCGTGGGAGTCTCAGAGATCTACTCCCCGGCCATGGTCGCAACCGTACGGAGCGGACAGACATCGTCGCTCGCAGTACATGCGAGCTAGCGGCCATTTGAGTACAAGTGCGGCGGATCCAATGTGGTGATGATTTTTGCAGTGCTGCAGGTCTGTACGGAACGGACACACATCGTCTGCAGTGCTGCAGGCCTGTACGGAGCGGACACACATCGTCGTTCGCAGTACATGCGAGCTAGCAGCCACTTTTGAGTACAAGTGCGGTGGATCCAATGTGGTGATGATTTTTGCAGTGCCGCAGGCCTGCGTGTGCACCAGACATGGGGTGCAGCCACCTGTGCAGCATTTGCAGCACTAGCAGCCACTTTTGTGTACAAGTGTGGTTGATCAGCTTTCACTTGTGACCACGCTCCTGCAACCTCGCAGCCACTTTTGAGTACAAGTGCGGCTGATCCAACGTGGTGATGATTTTTGCAGTGC